AACAATCAAGTGATCCCTAAGGGCAGTTTGCATGGAATATGCCGTAGTTTTCTTTACAGCAGTTATGTCTCCATGTACACGATGATCATCGGTACCATACAAGCAGCGTTTTCAAACGACCTTGCTTGCGTTTCTTTCAACGTCTAACACTGGAACTGTTTCTGCACATAACATAGTACATTTACCTTTGAAAATGGTGCGGCGCTGTGTATAACAGTGTGGTGTTGTCTGAAATCTGCAACACTGATATTTCCTGTTCCACACATTAAAAGCTGCCAAACAACAACACAACACCGATCGATCAGATAATTTGACAGCCAGCGTACGCGGATCTCCACCTGATGCAACTAGCAGAAATCGGCGTGCGTTCGCAGGCTTACAGCTTTCTCGACTGACAAAAAAACGGAACTACCGTGTGCGTACTTCTCATTTCTTACCGGCCTCTTCGAGCGACTCGCCGTTTCTTGTTGTCTGTAGCAATGCTCTAGTATATTGAATATAACGCGTTGCACTATCATGATCATGAGTATATCCAGAGAATTTCGTTGATTCAGTAAACCGAGTGTGTGTACAACCTCGTTTCCAGTGTCGGTCTTTTTCAATCCGAAGAGAGACCTGGGGCCTGGGAACGAATTTACAGACTAGGAATTCTTACTGAAAATACATCCAGGTAAAAATATCACCAACATTATTCTGTTTACTTTTTATCAATATCCATCCTGCTCACCTCTAACTCGTACTCGTCGAATACACTCAGAAGACTGTCTGGAACCATTTCATTCAAACCTGTACATACAAAACGTTCTGTCGATTAATTCACCTTTTAAATTGCAAATGAGTTCCAATGTATTCTCGACAAGAAGGCAATTAAGCCATCCATTCACAGTACCCCGAGCGTTGACCACAAAATCGAACAAAAAGTACGCACCAGATACCACACATAATTTGACGATCAAGATTTATAGATCGAGATCAAAAGCTCTCACTATTTTGTAAAGTAAGTGAAAATGACATGAACCCTGACTAAAGGTATCTCTACCAACTGCCACAGCCACTTCTTTTCGCGAAATAACGATCAAACCATAACTGAATCACAAAAAAGTTCTTCAATCTTAAAAACCGTAAATAGACTTAAAATTCAGCAAGCTAGTGAGCTAGAGAAACCCTGTCAAGAAATCTCACAGTCTAAGACTAATGGAAAACACTTAGCTAAATCGTCATCGTACCTCTAATAAACTTGTTGCGCTGTTAAGTACCATCAACATGGTGGTTTATTTTTGGTCACTAGATAGTTTGAACTTAACAGAGAGAAAACATATTTCAGCCGTACCTTTTGCAAAAGCTTCAATCTCCTGTTTGACGGAGGACGAAAGACGATACTGCGCCAACAAATCCAGGTATTCTTTCTTGTTCGACTCCGTCACTGGAATTTGCGAGCCACCAGGCTTTAATTCAACCAACTGAAAGAAAAAAAGAAGGTGTTTGTCGTACTTTAACAAGGTCTGCAAACAATTACTTAACATCATGAATACTTCATTACAGCTCATAAAGATCAAAGGAAATTAAAGAAAGAAAAAAAGAAAACACAACCAACATAAAAGAAACAAAAGAAATCTTTCTTCGTAGCATGCCGCGAGCTTTTCGAGAGGCACCTTATCTTACCTTCTCTACGCGCCCCTGCTGATCGTACACCTCCTCTGCGAACTGTATTGCCAGGTCCTCAGGGTCAGTCTCCTCGATGTACTTGATTTTGCTTCGATATAAGTCCTTGTCATCACTCTCAAAATACTAAGGTAGTGAAATATTAGAGAGAAAAATTAAAAAAAAAAGAAAGAAATTGAAAACATCAGATCGATCACAAAAATTCGGTCAGGATAAAATGGGCACGGGAGTCCACAAGAGTTTAAAGTTGGAGTGAATGAAATGCACTTTACAGTGTTTAAGCGATTAAACAATTTTACTTTGTTTAGCCTTAGAAAAAGATTCAAGGCTAAAACCTGCTTCGTGCGCATTATTTTCGTGATAGCAGCATATTGCTCTACCAACTGGACCATGATGTGCTGTGGTATTGTGGGAAAAACTTTCCACCTGCGTTGACGAATGACAGAAGATCGTTCAAATCTGTATTCGATAACCTACCAGGGGGCCGAGCAGGCCCCTCTTTGAATCACACGTGCGATAGCGAAGAGTAAGTCTGCCAGTGAAGTGATCCAGCAGGGAGGGGTCTGGCGCGGAAGCGTCAAGAGTCATTACTTAACTGGAACACTGTGGTGTTTGCAATCTTTCAGTGTACAAATGAAACGACAGTTTAAGATCTTACCCTATAGCTAACACGGAGACCAAGCAGCTGAGCCAAAAATGACCTGCTAAATCTCGCTTTCACGTTAATCCTCCGAGTTGAGCCTAAAGCTGACTCATATAAACACTTTCCTACGATCCGCCCTGCAAACTCGTAAAACTTCAACTTCATCCCCCCAGGCCTCCTCGGATTTGGGTGAACCTCAAAGAGAAAACAACAAGTAATCATAACTAATCAATACACTATAGTTCCCGGTTCACTGGTACCTGTCGATTTCGTATGGTAGTGGTTGGGAAAACTTGTTTAAATATCAATATTTCTTTTCGGTGATCAATTTCTGAATTCCTATCACTAATCTCTCATTGATAAGACTTACAAGTTCGGAGAAATCTAATGCCGAACATTTTAGGGCTTAAACGAGATACTTACAAGTTACAAAACAGCCGTCAACAAGACAAGAACGAATCAGTCTAAAAAGAAATTTTTGTGCCGGATTCTAATTTTCATGGAAAAAGCTCACAAGTCAGTGCGTTACCTGTCTAGCAGCAAAAGACCTTGTATTTGTTTTCTATACTTAGAATAACTTTAGTAAAAACAAAAACATGCTCGCTAAAACAATTGTGTTCTCACCAGAGCTTGAGGATCTTCTGCATTAAAGCGAGTGAAGAATCCACTCTCATGTGAAAACAGCGCTTTGCACAACAATTCAAACCATTCACGGCGCAAACCGCCCCAGTCTATACCTGACAAAACAAAAGATACGAAAACACAAGACGTAATTAGACAGGGGTCGGATAGGACTAGTCCCAAATTTATTAATTTATAAGTAATTGAGATTNGCAAGAATATGAGTATCCGAGGCCGGACATTTGACCGAAAAGTGAACAATAAAGTACTAGCCTGCGTAACAAGCTTTCTCGCAGAAAGAGCTTTCTTCCGCATTCTGGCCGCCAAACCATCGATGTTTTTGCTCTCGCCCCAATTTTGCGCGACCAGACTTTGCTCGTTCGCCCTCGATCGCCAACGGAACGCTTGCTAGACAGGCTATAAGTCACTAACCTATTTTAGTGAGCAAGAGTCTGGAAAATGTCGCAACCAACACGTTTCTTTCTTTGCACATCACAGTGACTGGAGGCTGGGAACCATCGTTTACAGTAAATGTCGGGTGATCTACTCGGCCGTCAGGGGGGTGCAGAATGATCTGAGGGAGGAGTAGTTACACACAAGATTAGTTTTACATTCAAATATAACAATACACGTCAAGNTCTGAAAAAATGTTAAACAATAATCTAAAGGACTGCAAAGCTATTCCGTTAGATGACCATGACGATGGTAATGATGATGATGCAAGCTACATGAAGTTAATTAAATATAATTATTCTCAAGCAAAAAAAGGTAGGAATAAAGAAAATCAGTAAATAGGCAGCGTAATTATTTGCTCAGAACTGATCTGTAAAGAGAATAAAAAATTTCAACTTCTGCACTAGCAATATTGTGAACATTAAGTAGGAAGTCATAGAATCACTTACAGGCTGGAAAATAAAATTCTGTCTTGTAATGCATGAATTTCTTTAAGAGGCAGATCAAGTCCTAATTTTAATCACACTGACAAAAAAATAAGTGAATTGCTATAATTGTTTGATAACATATCTTATCATTTTAATAATAATTACTATTTAGTATTAATAATGGATAGAATCAAAGGAACATAATGCACAGAAACGGCTACATGGCTGTAGTCCTTTTCTACGAAACAAGAGATAAGTTTCTTTCTATTTATAAGATTATGAGCTTGAGATTTCTATTGCGTGATAGTTGACAATGGTGCAGCCCAATTCAGCTGTCAAGTATAGAAATCGAAAGCAAAGAATCTAATAATTATTTTAGTGTAAAATTATCTAGACTAGTCATTCATAATTTTATAAAAATCCTCTTCAAAAACTCTTCAAAAACACAAAGAAGTGGCCGCCATTTTGTTTTAGAATAAAACAACCACACACTACTAAGCTACTGACTATCTACAACAGAGTAGATATTGAGTAGCGTAGCCAATCAGAGAACGGCATTTGTGATGGAACACTGGTAGGTTCATATTAGAAAAGAGTAGATAGTGACTAGCATAGCCAATTGCAATAAGAGAACAGCATTCATGAAAGATCAAAAGAAGATTTATAATAAGAGCAAATAGTCAAGGCGGAACAGCAGAAACTGTAGAAAACAGGAGCAAGTCTGTGGCTTAATCATGTTTCATCTACCATCAAATTAGAATTATACTTTTCTCCAACTAAACTGACAACATGTATGGAGGAACTGAGAAGGAGCGAAATAATACTACAAAGCCATAAACAATCAAAAACTAGATCATGTTACCTGTTTAAACTAAAATAAGATTTGCTCAAATTTATTACCTCTGTTACTTCAACACCATATGAGTGAATATCTTGGACAGACAGTGGGCAAATATTGCCAAACTTGTCACGAGCCTCTACAGTTAGGGGTGCATATATCCCTTGCTGAACCTCTAGTAATGATCCACCCTCTAAAATGCTGCACTTTGATGGATCCACAGCACCTGTCAGTAATACAACCACACGACCATGATCATGTGCAAAACCATTTTTAGAATCCATGCTAAGGCAGGGTATGGAGTCTGAAGCCAACATATTTCAGAGTCATTATTAACACAAAAACATACTGGTTATCGTAAAGTTGTTCATCATGGTATCCATGCTTCATAGTGCGGCAAGAGATAATAGTAATAATAATTATTAATAACAACTATAGTACAAAACAATAAATAAGATGATAATACTTATTAGATATAGCACCTGGTAAAAATGTNACCACACGACCATGATCATGTGCCAAGACCATTTTTAGAATCCACATTAAGGCAGGGTATGGAGTCTGAAGCCAACATATTTCAGATTCATTATTAACACAAAAACATACTGGTTATCGTAAAGTTGTGCATCATGGTATCCATGCTTCATAGTGCGGCAAGAGATAATAGTAATAATAATTATTATAACAACTACAGTACAAAACAATAAATAAGATGATAATACTTATTAGATATAGCACCTGGTAAAAATGTTTTAGTGAATGGTCTCTCTGTGATCAGTGTCCCCTGTACAAGAACAGAAATTGTGTAAATTCCAGCTTCTCTAACAGTAAAAGAAACTTTCATGATGTTCCCTTGTGCCCATTTTTCACCACCATATTCCCACGACGACTTAATAAATGTGTTGTTGTGCATGATTTCAACAAGAATGTAATCCTCAGGAGATACAGGGTATGGAGTGCTGTTCATCCTGTAAAACTGAAACAGAAAGAATTCCATGAGCTTTCTCATAATAAATTATTATCAAGACATTAAACTTGTTCATATACACCAATAAAATACCTTTAGAAAGAATGACATTGATTCTCCGACAACATGAGGGTCCTTCCATTCCCATGTGACTTTGGTGAACTTTGGTTCCAAAGGTAAACCAAGCACGTATCGAAAGAATGAAGACTGGTGCTGTCGGCTTTTGGTTTTTATTCTGAAGACTCCAGCACAGATGACTATGACACTTACTATAGAGCCAATAACGAGAACAAACATCTTGCCTGTGCAATTAAAGAGAATCAAAATTAAAGGAGAAAGGGGAAACCCAAGAGATTTTTGTTCCATGACCAGGCTTTATATACATGTATCATCACCATCATCATCATCTGATCATAATCTTT